GGGAAATACGAGAGGCAAGTTGTCAGGAATGAAAAGGAGGCCAGTAGGATGGACTGGCCTCAGTCTAGCAGGGCTTCCCCAGTATGGGCTTAGGAAGGGGGTGAGAGGATAAGGGGACTGGGGACAGCACTCAACAAGCTGGCAGTTGGGCAGTGTGTAAAGGTTATGCATGATATGTAAATGAGTGGCAACTTTTCAGGCTGGAGCAGTGGCATTGTTCAACAGCCCCCCAGTGAAAGGGAGCACCGGGGACCATGAGAGATGAGGGGCACTCAGGGTCCCAAAGGTCAGGAAAGGACAGGCATTCAGAGTACAGGGGGGCAGCGCAGGCTGAACTCTCCAGTTACACCATTGAGGACTCAGGGTTCCAGAGGGATCAGGTCAGAGCTCTTGGTGGCCTTGCTCTGCTCACCCTTCCCTGGTCCCTCACCCTTCACTAATGAGCTCTCCTACCTCATGGAAACCTGTCAGGCCCTCTGCTCCCTCTGGGACCTTAGCTGTGTCATACCAGTGCCTCAGTTTACCCTCTTGAAGTGGGAGAAAGGAATAGCCTCCTTGGTGCTTGGCTCCCCCTCTATACCTCACAGGGGCAACCAGGGTTCCTTCCTCCCTGCCTTTGTTTTACTAGGGGAGGGGTAGGGACTGAGGTGACGGGGAGAGGGGAGAGTAGCGGAGAGTAGCGCAGAGCCCAGGGTTGGGGGAGGGGCGGGTAATCCCTGGAGCTGTTATGGCAGCTGGGGAGCTGATGTGGAAGTGTGGGGTCCCCATGGAAACAGGTTGGTTACTATGGGGACCCTGAAAGGAAATTCCGGGTTTCCACAGTGATAGGACAAGGGGAAGGTTAAGCCCTGGGGGGTGTTATGGAGACCTGAAGGTTCACACCTTTCAAGACCCTCTCCCCAGGAAAAGGGGAGAGACTGGCACAGCCACCTAGGCATTTAGACCATTAGCCTCAGTTATCCTTGCCCCTGGTGAAGTCCCCTGTTCCTGCTTCATTCCTTGGCCTGAGGTCCTCCAAGTCTGACCTCTAGTCTTCCTCGTATAGCCAGAAGCCACCTGCAGCTTGACATTGCCATCCCCCTGCTGATGCTGAGTGGGAAGACCTGAAAGAGGTCATCCTGATCAGGCCCCATCCCACCCTGTCCCATTTCTGCTTGCCTATTGCAGGAGGTGGGGTGCTTACTACCACCTAGGCAGCTCTGACTGGGAGGAGTCACCCACGGTGGAGTCCAGTCTTCTCTCCCTGCCCTGTTCTTAGTGCTGTTCTGGGGCCCACTAAGTTCCTCCCATTCTGCTTGCCTGGGACAGCCAGCTGTGGTCCATGGGACCGTGACTCTGCCAGTTAACCAAGATCTGCCACTCACCTGTCACTCATGGAGGTGGGTGGGGAGAAGATGAGTGTTGCCCTAGAATGCCAAAGGCTTGGGAAGGCAGAGCCCCTGGATTTGGGGGTAGAGCTCCCACTCACCTTACCATGGACTGCTGGGTGCGGTTGGAGAGCCTTTAGCTGTGAAGCAAAGGGATGGCTTTAAAGAGGCAGCTGAAGCACAAGAGCTTAATGTTAAGTACCAAGGTACCAAGCGTGAGAACGAGGTCTGGATTGGAGAACCCATGCCCTCAACCACATTCAGTTTGGCACCCCCGACCTCTGAAGCACCACACAGGGCTGAGTCTTTGGGGAAGGTGCTGGCTCTGCTGGGGAGCATTTAGGCAGAGGAAAACACCGAGAGCAAAGCACATGCAGACCTGTGAGGGTAGGGACAGGGAGTGATACCCTTGAGCCGGGGCATCCAGTGAATATGGGGTGCTGAGGCTGGAGATGAGGTGGATACCACCCTTGCAGGCCTTCAGATGTCGGGTGAGGCTGTGGACTTGCCATGAGCCTGTGGTAGGGTGGCTGACTGGCTGACAGTAGCGGACAGTAGTGGTAACTGATGTGTCCTGGAGGTGTCCGAGGTGCCAGATGCTATTTAAGGAACTTCTGTGTTTTGCCCCATTGTGAGCCCCAAATGAGGTAATCGGGTAGCGATGGAGGATTTGGGGCAAGGTCTGGGCCCTGAGACATGGGGCAAAGCAGGGCTGATGTCAGGTTTGGGGTGAGGCAAGCAGGTCTCGGGCAGCATGGTGTCTGGAGCGCAGTGGTCCTTATCTCCCTGACAGCCCCACCCACCTGTCCACGCCTTCACCCCTCCCAGGTTACCTCAGAGTTCTGAGGAAGTGGCAGTTCCATGCCTACCCAAGGACTGTTTGGGCGCTCCCCTCCCCCAGCACTGAGTGTCCTCAGGGCTGGTTGGGCATAGATTGGGGTCCCTACAGGAGTGACTCAGAGACACTTCCCCCCTCCCCCAGACCCACAGCTTTCTTCCCTGCTGCAGGACCCTGGGAGGAATGTGGCTGCTCCTCATTTGCCTTCACAGGGGCACACGGTCAGGACCCTGGCCCAGTCAGGGTGGGGTGGGGACGGGGCTGGCCTGCTGATGTTCTTGCTCAGAGCTTGAAAGGGATGGGGGAGCTGGCTAAGACAGAGCCTGTGCGAGGAGTGTGGGGAGCCCTGGCAGCACAGCCACGTCTCCCCAGCTCTGGAGCCCTCCACATGCAGCACTGCCTCTGTGCTCCCGGCCCTGCCCTGCCTCCTGGCCTCGGCGCCTGCACGTCTCCCGCACCCTCCAACACTGCAGCCTCAAGCCATGGGGCCCAGGTCAGAGCCAGGCTGAGGCCTCCCAGGGAGAAGAGGTGAGACCACAGGGTCAGGACAGGCAGCTACCCCTAGTTCTGTGCTTTTGAGATCCCTCCTGTCCCCTCCAGAGCCCACAGAGGTTGCCTTGATTGCCTCAGCCCTGAACCCAGCCCAGCCTGGATTTGCTGGAAGTTTGCAGCACTAGACAGGTCAAGGCTGTGTTCTAAGGACAGAAAGCAGGAGCGTGCAGAGTTTGAGGGGCCTGTCCGGGTAATGGCCATGAGGAGGACAGGAGGTTCCTGCTTAAATACCAAAAGCCCAAGTCACACATGGGACGGGGTGTGGGGAGAGCAGAGGCCTGCACAGGAGGATGTGAATCACAGATGCAGAGGGCAGAGGAGCTGGAGATGCAGGCCCTGATTGGACTAAGGACCCAGAATGTCTGGCTCAGCAATTGAGCCTTTATCTTTGGGTCAAGCAGGGGGACATGGTCAAATGCAGGCTATCAGGTGCTCAGCAGAGCTACAGTGGCCAAAAAGGACTCCCCCCCCCTTTTTTTTTTAATTGAAGTGTAGTTTTGGTTTTTTTTTTTACAACATTAGCTTCAGGTGTATAACAAAGTGATTGAGTTATGTGTATACATACATATATATTTTTAGATTTTTTTCTGCTATAACTTATTACAAGAAATTAAATATAGTTTCCTGTGCTATACAGTAAGTCCTTGTTATTTATCTATTTTATATATAGTAATGTGTATCTGTTAATCCCAAACTCTTAATTTATCCCCTTCTCCATCTTTCCCCTTTGGCAACTATCGTTTGTTTTCTATCTGTAAGTAAAAAGGACTCATATTTGGGGTGGGAGATGACTGTGGTTTGACTAGGGGTGGTTTGGAGGGAGAAGAGGGGAGCATGGTGTCAGGACAGTTTTGAAGGTAGACAGGGGTCTGTGGGGTCATTGAGGCAGGGTCATGGGTCATGGGGTCAGCTTGAGCTGGCTGGCTTTAGCCCTATGAGTGGTCCTGGCCTAGAACAAAGGTCTGGCTTTTCAACATCCTCAGAGATAAAGCTGCAGCTGTGATAGTGAATGAGGCATCCTCTCTCGGGCCCCCCATTTCCCCCTCTGCAGTGGGAAGAATCGAAAAGTAAGGGTCTAAGAGCTCTGGCCTGCTCTGGTGTTTCAAGGTTGGGCATTATGGTGTCTTTGCTAGCTGACAGAGAGAAGAGGTGTAGACAGAGGTAGGTGAGCAGGGAGGCTGCCAGCGCAGAGAGTGGAGAGTTAGTCATGGTAGTATGGGCCTGCACTTTGGTGGGCTTAGCCCCTCTCTGAGCCTCAGTTCTGTGACAAAATGCACAAGGAAGGTGCCCTACCACAGGGTGGAGGGTTGCTTTGCCTAGGTTTCTCGGGGGCCTGGTCCCATCTGCTAGGGTCAGGCCCCAGGTTCAGTCCTGACCTGTGATCCGGGGCCCACAAGTGGCAAAAAATTAGCCGTCCATCCAACAGTAGTTCTGGAGGTCCTTGAGTTGAGGTCCGTGGCACATGAGTTGCAGCCTCAGGCTGCCAGATGTTACCTGTCATGTGTCCTTTGCCCCTACATCTTTCTCCAGTATGGTCCCCACCCTGCTTCTCTGTCCCTGGGAAAGAAGGTTGCCTTCTGAGCTCAGCTGTTTAGGGTGGGATCTCCAGATGGGGCCAGTGTGGAAGGAGGGGGCAAGGGAGGGATGGAAGGAGGCGCTCAGGTCCAGGCTACCACCCACTCCATGCCCTGGGAGGGGCTTGGAGGTTGGAGCAGATTAGGGCAAGTCCTGGACTTTCGCTACAATGTCTCTGCAGCAGAGAGACCAGCAGGGCCAGGTGGGGAGCTGGGACACAGCAGCGGGGCAGGGCAAAGGAATGGATGGGTCCTCCTACATCGTTCCCTAGGCCGGAGGCCCTAAACCCAGGTCGGGGGGCTGTGGGTGCCTTGAATGAAGGGCACTATAGAGCAGGGATCAGAACCTGTCCCTGGATAGGCCTGCCCTGACTGCGGGACTCATGGTTGTAGAACTAGTTTCTGGTCCACAAGCTCCACCCAAGGCAGTGTGACCCCCGCCCCTCTGTGTTCCAGGCCCCGCCTTCAGTGCTAGGCTAGGTCCCTCACAGCTTCTCTTGCTCGGCCCTGGGTGCCCCAGGCCCCCCCACATCCCTGCGGTCTGCCGGGAGGAAGCGTCCCCCTTCCCCCACCGTGACTCTGCGCTTCCTGCCCCAGGGCTGGGGCGGGAGGGGACGTTTCCCGTTCACATCAAAGTTTCCCTGGCGGCACCCAGACTGGGCTCAGCCCCTGTCCCTCTTGCCCATGGAACCAGCTCTGGGGCCTGGGGTCCAGGTAACCAGCCAGGGTGGGTGGAGTTTCCCAGGGCGAGGTAGGGCCCTCTGCCTGTACACGTGGGGGATGTGTGTGTGCATCGGTCTGCCTGGCTGATGGTGAACATGCATCCTGGGATATACAGTCAGGGAAGGTTTCCTGCAGGTGGCTGCTGCTAAGCTGGGAGAAGGTGGCAGGAGAGAGCCCAGTCCATGGCTTTTGGTTGGGGGAGGTTGGTGAGTGTGAGACCTTTAGCCCCAGCAACAGTGTGGGCCACAGCCACACCCCAGGCATGTATATGCTTAAGCCCCTCCCCTGTCCGTGTCAGGCTTGTCTGGGTCCCCAAGGGTTCAGGAAGTGGGAGCAGAGTGGGAGGCTGAGAAAAGCAGATGAGGGGCCTGGGGGAGAGATTAATATGTATGGCAGTCCTCTGATGCTGACTTTCCAGCTTCCTGTCCTCCTTCCCCATCCATCCCTCACTCCCTTTCTCCACCTCCACTGCTCTGCCTCCAATTCCTGTCCAACGCCATTCACTCTCCACCTCTGTCCCCATCCTCTTGGCCCCCCCATCCACTGGGCCCCTTCTGCCCCCACCACTGTTCCCCTGAACTTCTTTCCTGCAGAAGGACCTGGGCTACCTGCAGCAGTGGCTGAAGGCCTTTGTGGGTGCCTTCGAGAAGAGCATCTCACTATCCTCTCTGGAGCCACGCAGGTGAGGCTGGAGCTCTGTGGAGGGCGGGAGACCTAGGGGTCCTTGGCGCCCGGTGACCCTCCCCTCCCTGCAGGCCGGAGGAGGCAGGTGTGGAGGTGCCGCTGCTACCCCTGGATGCGCTGCTTGTGCTGGCCAAGCAGCTGGACGAGGGGGACCTGGAGCAAGCCCTGCTGCTGCTCAAGCTCTTCATCATTCTCTGCAGGTGGGTCCCTGCTGTCTTCTCCACCGTGGGAGACCGTGGGACTGTGGGCCAGAGTCAGGGCTGGCATGTCACTGGGACCTTTCCCATCATTCACTCCTTAGGAACCCAGAGAATGTAGAGGCAGGCTGGGGCCAGGTGCTGGTGCCCCGAGTGCTGGCATTGCTGACCTGGTTGGTGGCTGAGGTGAGGTAACCTGTACCCTGGGGGGTGGCAGGTGGTAGCCATGGCTCAGCTAACCCCTCTCTACCCTCTCCCCATGCCTGCAGCTGAAAGGACCCCCATCACTGCAGGAGGGCTGTGGGCCCCAGCTGGAAAACATAGCCCTTCATGCCTTGCTTCTCTGTGAAGGCCTCTTTGACCCCTACCAAACCTGGCGACGCCAGCACAGTGGGTGAGAGGCAGTCCCCAGGCAGAGGACCCAGAGGAAGCTGGGGAGAGGAGAAGGGTGGCCACTCTGGCCAAGGGGCAGAGGTGGGAGGGGGCTGGTGTGCAGGCTGGTGAGAAGAGGATCACCCAGGATGGGTAAAATGCTGGCCTCATCTCGGCCTCTGCCCACTCCATCCCCACCAGGGAAGTCATCAGCTCCAAGGAGAAGAGCAAATACAAGTTCCCTCCTGCTGCTTTGCCCTGTGAATTCAGCGCCTTCTTACGAGGTCAGGCCCCACCCCCTCTTTCACTTGGCTCCCCTGGCCCCGCCCCCAAACCTGAGCCCTTCCTGCAGTTCCCCATCCCATAAGCAGGACAGGATCCACTTACTGGTGGCTGCATGTGGGGCTGGGAGAACCATGGGAATTTGAGGGTGCCTCCAAAGTTGAGTAGGAGTTCAGGGGCAGAGAGGAGAGGGAGAGCATGTCTGGACAAAATGAGTAACTTCTTTTTTGGGGAGGTGTCAATTTCCCTTCCCCCTTCTCTCCTATCTCCTGGGTCCCCCCCAGTCACTTGTACCCTACTGTGATCTGGACCATCTTAAAACTCTCTGGTCCAATCCCAATCCCTTTGTCCTGTAGCTACACCCAGTCTCCACTCCTCCTCCAGGCAGTGTTTAGGTGTCTCCCCTCCCTGCTCCCACTCTTCTGGGGGAGCTGACCCCCAGGACATCTCACACCATCTATTCTCCCTGGGTACCTTTTGCTCCTGGGTGCCCTCCTCTCATTGGAGGGTGACTGGCCAGGGCTTTAGATGGGCTTGGAGGAGGATGCTGCCTGGACAGGGGCAGGCCAGGTTTGGGAAAACGGTGGCCTATTGGGCTAGAAAATATCTCTGTTTCTGGGATACCCCATGGAGCTGTGGACCGGAGCCTGGAGCAGGAGTAACATCTCCGAGAGAAGAGATGCCCCTGGGGAGCCCCCTGCCTCTGTTCTCCCACAGCCTGGGTACTCTTCTTAAAATACAATGGATTTTGTTCCCGCTGCTGTAAATTCCTCAGTGGTGGCCTGACTCCATCAGGATCAAACCCCACACCCCCCACGCCTTCCTTGTCAGCCGTACTCATTCTCTGCTCTCCGGCCATGGTCCTGTCCTCTCATTCCTAGAATCCAATTAGTTACTCCACCTCTGAGTCTTTGCCCAGACTGTTTCCTCTTCCTTCACAGGCCAACAGCATTCTCAGGCCTCACGTCAAAAGCCCTGTCCCCTGGGGGCCTCCCACCCCATCCCACCAGAATCAAGGCAGCCCAGCTCTCTCCCTACCCCTAATCCATGTGACCCAGGGCTGGTCCGTTCTGCTCTCTGGGTTTCACTTCATGGCCTAGCATCCTGTCCAGCTTTGCTGGAGCAGGGCCAGGTGGGCTTCCCAGATATGACACTGTGAAAGCCCCTAGAAGTCCCCAGCAAGGGTGCATGGGTGGTGTGTGGGGCATCTGTATGGCAGATACAGCAGGTCACGGGAAGCTCCAACCGTCACAGGGCAGAGGGACCAGGAAATTTGCATCTAAGAAACTAAACCCTGGGTTGCCATGGGGAAGTGTGGGTGTTTATATGCTCGCTCTGGGGTCCCCACTTTGGGGCTTAAGGATCTGGGAAGCTGGCTGGGCTCTTAGGGCAGGGCTGTGTCCCCTACAAGCTCCCCAAAGAAGGGCTGTGTCCTCCTCAGACCCCCTAGCATAGAGGTATGACATTTTAGACCCCCTAGCACAGAACTGGGTCTTCTCCCTCAGAGTGGGCCTCCCGGCCATGTTCCTTGGCCAACTCCCCCCACCGCATCTTGTGTGGTCCCCTGGACCCACAGCCCTGCAAGCTTTGACATTATCTTGCCCTGTCCCCTGCCCCCCCCATTTCCCCTGTCCAGAGAGCCTGCAGGATGCAGATCGCTTGCCTTCCACGCTGCTGCTGCGTCTCATTCACCTCTTTGGTGCTGTCCTTGCGGGAGGGAAGGTAGGTTGGGAGGAGCCTGTGGGCCAGAGGGTGGCCATCTCAGGGTGTCTCTGCTGGGTGAGCCCCTTGCCCATTGCCCGTCTCTCCCCATACCTGCAGGAGAACGGGCAGAAGGCTGTGAGTGCTGGCTCTGTGCAGGGCCTGCTGGGTGTGGTACGGGGCTGGGGCCACCGGCCAGCCCAGGACCCCCGCCTAGTGCCGCTGGCACTGGAGGCGCTGGTGGGTGCGGTACATGTCCTGCACACCAGCCGCACACCTCCCCGGGGGCCAGAGCTCCGAGCCCTACTTGAAGGCTACTTCCGTGTCCTTAATACCGACTGGCCAGCTGGGCCAAGTCCAGGCCCCGAAGAGGCTCTTGTCACCCTGCGGGTCAGCATGCTTGGTGGGTATGGGCTCCTGGGCCCTTGGGGAGGTGGCACTGGCAGGGGAAGGCCCAGGTGCTGATGGAAAGTCTGGACAGGCAGTGTGGGAAGAAAGTTTAAGGCTGAGCGGAGGTGCTGCTGGGAGGGGCCTGGGCAGGGCTGACCCTTGAGCCCTCCACAGACGCCATCCCCACGATGCTGACATGCGAGGACCGTCCAGTGCTGCAGGCCACCTTCCTCAGCAACAATTGCTTTGAACACCTTATTCGACTCATCCAGAACAGCAAGGTGGGCGGGGTCCAGGCTGGGGTGGAGGGCCTGGAACCCTGAGGCTGAGGGCACCATGGGTGGGTGCCGAGCTGCCGCTGAGCAAACCTGGGCCGGATGGGGCTGGGGGGCCGTGGCTAGTGGGATGGCCTGTAATTCAGTGGGGGATCCCGGCGCCCAGGATGGCTTTGGACCCCATGTGAGGTGGGTGTTGTGGAAAGGCGGGAGCTGCCCTGGGCCCTTGTTTTCCTTTTCCCCAGCCCCAAATGTAGGGGCAGGAAGACATCTCAGCTCTTTTGGCTGCAGTGCCTATTCCTGCTCACTTATCTGTGCCCGCTCTGTCCCTCTGGGCAGGGCATGGGTGGCTCAGCCCCTCTGCTCTTCCCTAGTGCCTGGTGGGGCACTCGGCCGGGGCTCAGGGCGTATCCTTCCCTCTGGGGCGGAGCCCTGGCAGCTGCTCCAGGTCCTGCTCTAACCCTGCCCCTCCCCCATCTTCTCTCTCCTCTACCTGCTCCACTTTGTGCCCTCCCCCTTCCCCACAGCTGTACCTGCAGGCCCGGGCGCCCCCTGAGGGGGACAGTGACCTGGCTACCCGGTTACTGACCGAGCCCGATGTCCAGAAGGTACCACCCTGGGGCTGACCAGCTCAGGCATCCATATCCCTGGGCAACCCCCCACTCCGGGGCTCCCTCTTTGAGCCCTTCTGCACTATCCAGGGAGGATAGTGGGGTGAGCAGATATGTATAAGGCCTGGTGTGGCCTAGTAATGGGGCTGGATCCCCCATGCTGTCTCACCCACCTTCCAAATCCCCATTCTAGGAAACAGGGCAGGAGTGATCTGTGCTCTGCCTCGTATTACTGTTGGGAGCTGGGATTTGGCTATGCCAAGCTGGAAGGAACCTTCGAAACTCAACTGCCCGTCCCCGTTGCACAGAAAGGGAGTCAGGAAGCCAGATACTTAGGGATTTGGCCATGGTCACTCACAGAGAAGGAGGTTCCCCACATGGGGCCACTTCTTTCCATAGGTCCTTGCACCTGCCATAAGCAGTCACTGGGCATTCCCAATCCCCTCATCCCCTCATCTTCCCATCCCCCCACCTCCCCCCATGATGTGCTTCCTGCCTTACCTTGCAAGGGGCCCACAGGAGGCTGCAGGGTGTCAGTCAGGGGCTCTGAATGGGACACGTTCTCTGGCGGCTCAGTACCTGGGCTCCCACCTCCAGAGCCCCACCCTGACTTTGTCCTCATGAGGCAGCCCGTGCTTCTATTGCACTCGGCTGTTTTCTGAGAACCTGCATGTCCATTCATCTACAAAGCAGGTGGGGCCAGTGAAACCCCTGATTTTTACAGATGAGGAAACTGAGGCCTGGAGAGGGGAAGAAAGTTGCCTGAGGCCCCTTGGGGAGTCAGGCAGAGCTGGGACCAAGGGCCCCGTGGAGCCAAAATACAGCCTAGCACCTGCTGACAGACTCTTCAAGCCCTCCTGACCCCTCACCCCTCAGTAGTGCAGGGTGAGGGAGCAGCATGCCTCTGGCTGTCGGGTTTGCCTGGGGTGAGCCTCAGTTTTCCCAACTGGATCTGGGGGAAAGGGGTAGGGTAGGACTTGAAGGTCTCGAAGGTTCTTCTGGTTCTAACATCCTGTGATTGATTGTCCCTAAATTCCCTGATCCCCTGTCAATCATCATGGGTGATGGGGCACTTGCTGGCCTGCCTGCACATGTGTGTCTAGCTTGGGTGGGGATGGGTAGGGACTGAGGCTCACAAGCCCACCAGATAGTGGAGGGCAGAGGACAGTGGCAAGAGGGTTCACTGTTCTGTCCCAGTGAGGCTCTTCCTGGCCTTGTTTCTTCCCTGGCTTCTTTGTCAAAGTGGGTGTTGCCAAGCTGCTCAGAGAGGGCCCTAGGGTTGGGGTGAGGGTCACAGCAGTTCAGGCAGGGAATAAACGGCCTGGTGCCCAGACAGGGTTGCCACAGTCCCAGGGCCCCCAGCCAGCTCAGCTACCTGCCTTGGGGCATCTGTTCCTGTCCCTAAACCCCTTGTACTGCAGGGTGCTGCCAGCTGCGACATCCTGGCATCTGCCTCTCCTGACTGCCCCTCCCTACCCCAAGGTACTGGACCAGGGCACAGATGCCATTGCAGTCCATGTAATCAGAGTGCTGACCTGCATCATGAGTGGCTCCCCCTCAGCCAAGGTGAGGATGTTGTGGTCCCACTGCAGTAGGCGATACGGGGTGGGAGTTAAATTGACCACACGTCTCCAGAACTGGCCTGAATGGTGGCTGTCAGAGCAAGTGAGCTGGGGAGGTGACCATCTGCCCTCTGGGGTACAGCTCAGCCCACTGGGCGGATATCGTCATTAGTTAGTCCTGGGAGCTGGCTATCCTAGGTCAGGGCTGGAGAGGGGAAGGATACTTGGGGCTGACCATCATCTGCAGCCTTCTGAGGTGAACCCATACCCCGTGGGCCCCCGCCCTTCCTAGCCTTAGCGGGTGAGGGAGCCCTGACAGGTGGTGCTTCCTCCAGGGTTCCCACTGGATGTGAGTTTGCCCTGGGGCCCACATACATGCTCACTTCTTTTCCACACATCCCTGCACAGGAGGTGTTTAAGGAGCGCATAGGCTACCCGCACCTGCAGGAGGTTCTGCAGAGCCACGGTCCCCCCACCCATCGGCTGTTACAAGAACTACTCAACATGGTAAGGGCAGGGGCTTGGGGTCAGGGTCCCCAGAGCAGTCGGGACTGAGTCAGGGCTACCACGGAAGGTGAGCTCTCCACCTGAGGGGACCGGGTTGACTATGGCCAGCATACAGTGTGACCTGTGGCCTGACCCTGTGCGTCAGTGTCACTGGGGTGAGGGTTCTGGGCTGCATGGGGCCTAGAAGAGGCTGCATGTTAGCAAGCCCCAGGATGATCCTGGGAACAGGCAGGTAGGGTTTAGGCCAACTGCGACAGAAAGTCGAGGACTGTTGCTGGTAGTGACGGTTTTCCGTGCACTTCTGGCTTTCCTGAGCGTCAGACACAACCTATGAGCAGGATGGGGTGGCACGTGTTGCTTTCCCATGTTGTAGGCCAGGAAACGGAGACAGGAAGTCCCACTGTTGGTAGGGTGGCCTCTTCCATGCTGGTTGCCAGGAGCTATCTCCTTCTCTCCGCCCACAGGCTGTGGAGGGCGACCACAGCACCCGTCCGCCGCCTCCAATCCGCAACGAGCAGCCAGTCCTGGTGCTGGTGCGGTGGCTGCCAGCACTGCCCACCGCTGAGCTGCGGCTCTTCCTAGCACAGCGCCTCTGGTGGCTCTGTGACAGCTGCCCTGCCAGCCGTGCCACGTGTGTGCAGGCCGGTCTGGTTGGCTGCCTGTTGGAGACGCTCAGCATGGGGGTAGCCCTGGGAGCCCGCTGCCAGGAGCAGCTGCTGGCGCTGCTGCAAGCATTGGGCCACGTGTCGCTAAGGCCCTCGGAGCTGCGGCACTTGCTTCGCCCCCCGCCAGGGCTGGACTCGGGGCCGGGCGGAGATGAGGCTGGGAACGCCCGACACGCAGGTGCCATCATTCGCGCGCTCTCAGGCATGGCCCGGCACCGGGGCCCGGCACGAGCCCTACGGTACTTTGACCTCACGCCCAGCATGGCGGGTATCATGGTACCCCCTGTGCAGCGATGGCCTGGACCTGGCTTCACCTTCCACGCCTGGCTCTGTCTGCACTCCGCGGCTGCAGCACCTGCGCCAGCTCCCACCCGGCCGCTTCAGCGAAAGCAACTGTACAGGTGGGCGCCTGCCAGGGATTAAGGCACAGTGCCAGGGTGAGCGGGAGAACCAGCAGGCATAACTGGCTTGGCCTGCCCCCAGCTTCTTCACCAGCAGTGGCTCAGGGTTTGAAGCCTTCTTCACGGCGGCTGGGACCCTGGTGGTGGCCGTGTGCACCCGGAAGGAGTACTTGACCATGAGCTTGCCTGAAGTGTCCTTTGCCGACTCTGCCTGGGTGAGCCTCCATCCTTATATGGCTCAGGGAGGGTGGAGGGGACACCAGATGCCACCGTATGGCCTGATGTTGTGGCTTCCATTCTAGCACTGTGTGGCCATTGTCCATGTGCCTGGGCGCCGGCCCTTCAGCCAGAACCTGGTCCATGTCTACAAAGATGGCCATCTGGTCAAGACAGCACCCCTTCGCTGCCCCTCCCTCAGTGAGGTGTGCCAGGCAGGGTTTGGGGAGGCTTGGGTAGCTTGGGGGACTTGGACAGAGTAGGGCCTGGAGCCCCTGTGTTCCCCCACCTCACAGGCCTCAGCCTCTGGGGTCTGCACTCTTGGGGGTCACTCAGGAACTGGATGCAGGTGGAACCCCAGGCTCTGCTGTGACCTGACCACTCCCCCAACCCTGGCCCCACAGCCTTTCTCCTCCTGCTGTATCGGCTCTGCTGGGCACCGCACAACGACCACCACCACGGGGCTGCCTGCGCCACCAGTCCCTGCTGCCCTGGCTCACACTCACCCCTCCCTCACCCGCTCCCAGTCAGTCCCGGCCACCACAGGGCTTGGCTGGGGGTCTGGGCTGGTGGCCCCCCTGCAGGAGGGCAGCATCAGCTCCACCCTTGCAGGCACACAGGACACTCGGTGGGGCAGCCCCACATCCCTGGAGGGCGAGCTGGGGGCCGTGGCCATCTTCCATGAAGCCCTGCAGGTGGCAGCCCTGCGGGCCCTGTGCACCCTGGGTACGCAGCGCCCCAACCCCCACCCCGCCCCAGCCCTACCCCGTTGTCCCAAAACCTGGTGGTTAGGGCTTACAAAGTGCCCAGGCCAGAAACTAGGGGTCCAGTGGGGAGAAGGCATCCCTGGGGGTTTTTCCTCTGATCAGGCAGAGAAGAGGCGGGCTCTAAGAGGGGTTTAGCTGGAAGCCCAGCCAGGTCTGAAGCCCCTTCCCACCCCCCAGGGCCCAATGAGACAGCACCCTTCAAGCCCGACGGTGAACTGCATGAGCTTGGCACTAAGCTGCTCCTCCATTATTCACCTCAGGTGTTGTGGGGTCGGGGGCAGTTGGCTCAACCCCACTCCCTCCCCTTGGCTCCCACCCTCTGTCTGCCACCCCCTCCCCCACTGACTCTTGCTGCCTGCTCACCCCCTGTCCCCAGGCCTGTAAGAACAACATCTGCCTGGACCTGTCCCCTGGTCATGGGCTAGATGGCCGCCTGACGGGCCACAGGGTGGAGACCTGGGACGTGAAGGTGTGTGCTCACGCTGGTGGTGTGTGCAGGGCAGGCTGGGGAGCGGCATGTATCCTGGAAGGTGTTGGGGAGACCCAGGTCCCCAGGCTCGAGGGTCTCCTGGGGCGGAGTGGGGCAGGAAATGGCTGGGTGCTCCCCTCTCACTGTGGCCCCCCACCCCCAGGATGTGGTGAATTGTGTGGGAGGCATGGGTGCCCTGCTGCCCCTGCTGGAGCGAGTGGCTGCACAGCCCCAGGAGGCTGAGGCTGGTCCCGCAGAAACACACGACCTTGTGGGGCCCGAACTGACCTCCAGCCACAACACCCAGGGCCTGCTCCTCCCGCTGGGCAAGTCCTCAGGTAAGTGTCCCTGGTGCCCGAGTTGGGGGGAGGAGATCTTGGCATGGTGGGGGGCTGGAGTGCTTGAGGTCTCTGTGGCCTCTGGCAGGCCCTTGACATACATCTGTCCCCTTCCTGGTGGTGGTAGAGGAGCGGATGGAGAGAAATGCAGTGGCTGCCTTTCTGCTGATGCTGCGGAACTTCCTGCAGGGCCATGCTGTGAACCAGGAGAGCCTGGTGCAGTGCCAGGGGCCTGCCATCATTGGAGCCCTCCTGCGCAAGGTGGGGTCCTCTGGGACAGGTGGAGAGGGGGCTGGTTGTGAGGACCAAGAAGGGGAACCTGAAGCCATTGGTCAGGGAGAGCCTCCTGAGAGGGGTGGCATCTGAACAGGGCCTTGAAAGTCTGGGCAGGGTTTGACCAGAGGGTCTAAGAGAAGTACCGGCCTAGTCTGGGGCCCGGCACCTGCACAGCAGGCTGGGAGCTTGTATTTCAGAGAAGGCAGGGAGCCACTGAAGGGTTCTGAGCAGGCAGGATGCTCGTATCTGCCGGTGCAGGGCAAGGTGGAAGCTGGGAGGCCTGAGAGCGGCAGGCAGGACCTGACATCTCACCCCAGCTCCTCCCCACCCAGGTCCCCAGCTGGGCCATGGACATGAATGTGCTCATGTCTGCCCAGCTGCTGATGGAGCAGGTGGCAGCCGAGGGCAGTGGGCCCCTCCTGTACTTGCTCTACCAGCATTTGCTCTTCAACTTTCACCTCTGGACCCTCAGCGACTTTGCTGTGCGCCTAGGTAGGTGAGGGGATGCCACCAGGCAGGGTGGTGGTGGAAGTTCTGAGAACTCATAACCCTGGTCTGGGTGATCTGAGGGGCACATCTGCCCTGAGGCGTCTGAGGGGAGCATGACTCTCCCTTGAGGGTTTGGCAGGGGCATAGCCCTGTCCTGGAGGAGGAGGAGATCCAGCTCAGCCTGGTGGCCTGAGCTCTCTGCTGATGCCCACTTAGGCCACATCCAGTACGTGTCTAGCATAGTCCGTGAGCACAGACAGAAGCTGCGGAAGAAGTATGGGGTCCAGTTCATCCTCGATGCCCTGCGCACCCACTACAGGTGAGGCTGGTTGGGGCAGGTGGGCCGGGGGTGCTGACACCACAGCCTCTGGCCTCGCGGACAGGGCTGTTGAGTCCTCCAGCTCACCTGCCCACGTCCCCTGTTCTCCTCTCCATGCTCCTGTGTTCTCCCCGCCCTGGATGCGCGTGCCTGTGGGGACCTGCTCAGCCCACAGCGGGAGCGCCCCCTAGCGGCTGACGACCTGCGCACGGTGCAGACTTCACTCCTGGGCCTGGCGCGGGAGTTCCTAGTGCGGAGCTCCTCCACTGATGACCTGCAGGTGGTGCTGAACTTTCTGGCGGCTGCGGGTGACGATGGCCAGGTAGGCTGGAGGTGGGCGAGGCGTGGAGGGTGGACCATGTTGTGGGGGCCCAGCTCAGTGTGAGGGTTTGTATCTCCAGGTGGTGGGTGCGCTGGACCTGCTGCTGGCCCTGCTGCAGGGCTCACCAGCACAGGAGTCTTTGGCTGTCTTTCTGCTGGAGCCGGGGAACCTTGAGGTGCTGCTGGCATTGCTGGTGCGGCCGAGGTCCATGCCCCTGCTGCCTGACCGAGTCTGCAAGGTACACCCAGCTTACCCCCAACTTGGCATCCCATTCACTGGGGCCCCTGCCTGAGTCCAAGGAGGTGTAGCTGGCCTCCAACTGGCAGATGAAGCTGCCTTTGCAGGCCTCTCTTGGAGCCACACACCTTCTGGGTGACTTCCCCTCCTACAGTAACTCCTTCCCTGTGCTGACACTCACCCCCGCAACGACCCCCGCACAGATCCTGCGCAGACTGCAGCAGAATGAGCGCTTACCTGAGCGCAGCCGCCAGCGGCTTCGGCTACGAGATTATGGTCTCCAGGGTCTTGTCGCCTGCCTGCCCGAGGGGGCCGTTTCCCTGCAGCTCTGCCAGGGGCTCTACAGGCTGTTCCTGGGGGCAGGTACAGCCCGGTTGGGGCCAAGAGGCAGGCAGGTGGAGGGGTGACTTGGATCCAGGAACCAGGGCAGGTGGGAACAGGGAAGGTGTTGGTACAGGGGCCAAGGCTGAGCCAGTCGGGGAGCATGGCCCCCTTCTGGGGTCAGTCCCTCAAGCCCTTTCTGGCCATCCTCCCAGATTGCCTGAACCTCTCAGATCTGTTGGCTGTGGTGCAGCTGTCCCTCCAGGCAGACCTCAGCGTCCGCCTGGACATTTGTCGCCAGGTGAGTGGAAAGTGAAAGCTTTGTCAAGGGCTGGGGGGTGGCTCCTATCCTGAGGACTTGACTTTGCCTGCTTGTGATGAGAGGTCTCTGGAGGCCTCCCCGACAAGGGCCCCAGGAGGAGGGTCTGGGACAGGCTGTCGATGAGTCCCTCACTTGCTGTGCCCTGGCCCGGCAGCTCTTCCACCTCATCTATGGACAGCCAGACATAGTGCGGCTGCTGGCCCGACAGGCTGGCTGGCAAGACGTGCTAACCCGGCTGTTTGTCCTGGAAGCTGTCACAGCCAGCAGTCCCCTGCCCTTTTCTCCTGAGCCACCCACCTCCCCGGAGCCAGCCTTACACAAGCCACCCACTGAGTCACCTGAGCCTTCGGACGTCTTCCTGCCCTCAGAGGTCCCCTGCCCTGACCCTGATGCTTTTTACCATGCTCTCTCCCCATTCTGCACACCCTTTGAGCTGGGCCTGGAACGGGCCAGTGTGGGCTCAGGCAACACTGCTGGTGGTGGCAGCGGCAGCGGCAGTGGGACTCTGACGCCAGCCAGCCAGCCTGGCACACCTTCCCCACTGGATGGGCCCCGGCCCTTCCCTGCCGCCCATGGTCGCCACAGTTCCAGTCTCTCCAATGTGCTGGAGGATGGCAGCCTGCCAGAGCCCACCATCAGTGGGGATGACACTTCTAATACCAGTAACCCTCAGGTGAGGCGGTCTCACTCTCCACCACTGCCTGGCACTAAGGGAGGGCACCTCTGGGACACACAGCAGGCAGCATGGCCTTTCCAAAGGGGTGTCCCCACTGCTGCCCTCTTGTAGCTTTCATCTGCAGTGTGTTCCGGGGAGAGGGGTCCTGGGACAGAGCAAGTCATGTTGAGACTGAGTTGGGGGCACTAGCCAGGTTTCAGGGGAGCCTGCGGGGCAGGGAATTTACAGGGCCCATGGGCAGCATTGCTGTGAGGGTCCTACATTGGGCTTCCAGGTCTGGGGATGGGCCTCTGCTTATTTTATGGCATTCTTCTAGAGAATTCCAGGACAGTCCTTGAGGCCTGTGAGGACTGTGGGGTAACCCTGTGTGTGAACTGTCTCATCTCCTCCTGGGAGTCTCTGGAATCCCCATATTCTCCCTGAAACTAAGGCAGTGGCTGAGGGTCACACCATTCTTTTAGGTCCTCAGTGCCGGGCCATCTTGGCTGTTGACCAAAGGCTCTGCCTTCTGCCTTCCCTACTAGTGGGCAGGTGGAGGTGCTGAACAGGGATAGTGGGGGGGTCAGTAATTCCCTCCCTCTCCATTCCACACCCCACACACCCACTGTGCCCACAGCAAACTTGTGAGGAGGAGCTTTGCAACCTACTCACCAACGTGTTGTTCTCGGTGACTTGGCGGGGCGTGGATGGCAGTGATGAGGCTGCCTGGCGGGAGCGCGGCCAGGTCTTCTCTGTGCTCACTCAGCTGGGGGCCTCAGCCACGCTTGTGCGCCCACCAGACTGCATCAAGCGTAGGTGAGGGGGTGACTCGGGAGGGAGCAGGTCCTTGGGGGAATTCCTCGGGGGCCAGGAAGGTGGTCAGGGAGACACCTGAGTCCCTTGCCCAACCCCAGCCTCCTGGAGATGATGCTGGAATCAGCCCTGACTGACATCAGAGAGGCCTCACTTGGGGTCCTGGCTAGCCTCACCCAGCATGCGCTTTGGCTGCTGCGCCTGCTGCAGGACTTTCTGTGCGCGGAGGGCCACGGTAACCAGGAGCTGTGGAGTGAGAAGGTACGACAGCTCGGAGGGGCATGAGTACCACATTGACATGCGCCTGAGGGCGTCTGGGAGGTGGATGAGTGCACACGTGTAGCTTGGGTGTCTGAGCCTAGGTTTGTCTGTTCAAACCTCTCTGGCCCCCAGCCCAAACCTTACCTTGCTCTCTCTCCATGGGCTCTTGGCCTCCTTTGGTGGCGGCTGCCTGGAATATGTGGTGTATGGCAGCTCTTTGAAGGTGTGTGCAGCCTGCTTGATCGCCTGGGAGCTTGGCCACACCTGGCCAATGGCACCGCGGATCTCCGAGAGATGGCACAGATTGGCCTGCGCCTCGTGCTTGGCTACATCCTGCTGGAGGACCCACAGGTGAGCACAGGGTGGATGTGAAAGGAGGAGGGTGTGATGGGTGTAGGGAGTTCTAGGAGTGACTGGTGCCACCCACACCCCTTCCATCCCCAGCTGCACGCCCAGGCCTATGTGAAACTGCACGCGCTGCTGCAGACCGCAGTGCCCATGCGCCGGGAGGAGGCCTGCTACGTCCTCTCCAAGCTGGAGGCGGCTCTGGCACGGGCGCTTAACACCCCACCCTCAGGGACTCCCCCTGGGGACCAGGAGCGCCCTGCTGCAGCCACCGCTGCGGAGCGATGCTCATGGCTGGTGCCGCTGGTGCGCACGCTGCTGGACCGTGCCTACGGGCCCTTGGGGCTGCAGTGGGGGCTGCCTTCCCTGCCGCCCACCAATGGCAGCCCTACCTTCTTCGAGGACTTCCAGGCCTTTTGTGCCACCCCCGAATGGCGTCATTTCATCGACAAGCAGGTGACTGGAGGTAGGGGCACGGGAAGAGAAGTGGAGGCTGGGACCCACATCGAACACTGGTCTCCTCTCCCTGTCCGATCCACCAGGTGCAGCCCACCATGTCGCAGTTCGAAATGGACACCTATGCTAAGAGCCATGACCTCATGTCGGGCTTCTGGAACACCTGCTACGACATGCTCATGAGCAGTGGGCAGCGTCGCCAGCGGGAACGGGCGCACAGCCGTCGGGCCTTCCAGGTGTGCGGCCCGAGGTGGAGGACGGGGAGCTGCTCCACTTGTTTACGCAGGGCACGGCTGACGGGACAGGGTGGAGAAACAGGGGCAGTACAGGAAGGGACTCACCTTTTCCTCCAACCCGCCAGGAGCTGGTGCTGGAACCTGCGCAGCGGCGGGCGCGCCTGGAGGGGCTGCGCTATGCAGCGGCGCTAAAACAACAGGCAACGCAGCACTCTACCGCCCTGCTCCACTGGGGGGCGCTGTGGCGTCAGCTCTCCAGCCCCTGCGGGGCCTGGGCCCTGAGGTGGGCGAGGCTTGGGGGGGCCAGGAGGGTGCCTTGAGGGTGAAGCCTGGGAATAACAGAGAGGGTCTACAGACTTCTGCCCCCTACTCATGACCACCACCGGGAACATATCTATAGGGACCCTCCCACCCCCCGCTGGAAGCTGTCCAGTGCCGAGACATATTCGCGCATGCGTCTGAAGCTGGTGCCCAACCACAACTTCAACCCTCACCAGGAAGCCAGCGCCTTACGCGACAACCTGGGTGAGAGGGTGTGCTGAGTCATCCAACCTCATATGCCCTGTCTTGCCTAGCTCTGGCTGAGCACCACTGGGCTCATTGCAGGTGAGGCTCCTCTGACACCCACCGAGGAGGCCTCGCTGCCTCTAGCAGTGACCAAAGAGGCCAAAGTCAGCACCCTACCCGAGGAGCTGCAGGAAGACCAGCTGGGCGAGGATGATCTGGCTGCACTGGAGATGGCGTGAGTGGGGCTGGGAGAGAGTTGTCGGGGGGTGGCGGGCAAGCGGTCTGCTCCAGTGTGTGCATTCGGGCAGTGGAATTGATTCCTGAATCCATTTCCTCTCCTGCTGCAGCACTGAACGCCCTGAAAGGATGGTCCAAAATCAAGAGAGGGGTTGGGCAGAGCTGTCTACCCAGATAGATGGTAGCTCTTTCCTGGCTAGGCACCCCAGAGCAGGACTGAGAAACACAAACCAGACCAGGACAGGGGCCCATGGGAGTGGGCACGGGCTGAGCGAGGAGAAGCTGGGGACAGGAGTCCATGTCCTGGCAGACATTCAGAGGCCCAGTTTTCTGGCCAGTCTGGACCCTGGGCAGCTCCTCCCTCTCCTCTGGGAGTCATGAGCCATGTACCTCATGAGTTGGTGGCACTCTGGGAGTGTGGTCCCTGGACTTGTTGGGAAGGGGGTCCCAGGGCCTAGTACCTGAAGTGGGTGCTGGCCGCCAGGTTGGAGGCAGCAGAACTGGACGAGCAGCATGAGAAGCTGGTGCTGTCAGCTGAGTGCCAACTGGTCACGGTGGTAGCTGTGGTCCCAGGGCTGCTGGAGGTCACCACACAGCACGTGTATTTCTATGACGGCAGCACTGAGCGTGTCGAAACTGAGGAAGGTGCGTTCTGATGGAGCTGCTTGGAGGGACAGCAGGGGCTGCTGGGGTCTGGTGGGGCCAGGGCGACTGGCTCCTGCACTCGCTGTCTGTTCCCATAGGCATTGGCCATGACTTCCGGCGCCCACTGGCCCAGCTGCGCGAGGTCCACCTACGGCGTTTCAACCTGCGCCGCTCAGCACTTGAGCTCTTCTTTATTGATCAGGCCAACTACTTCCTCAACTTCCCGTGCAAGGTGGGCGGGGCCGCAGCCTCATCTCCTTTCCAGGCCCCCAGGCCCCAGCCCTGCCCCATCCCGCCCCACACCCAGGTACGGAACCAGGTGTACTCGTTGCTCCTGCGCCTACGACCCCCTACCCAAGGCTACCTGAGCAGCCGCTCCCCCCAGGAGATGCTGCGCGCCTCAGGCCTTACCCAGGTGAGAGCCCTGGAGTGTGAGGAGCAGGTGAGGTCAGGGCCCTGTGATTGGTTCGAGTGCTGGCAGCCCAACCGGCTCACCTCTTGCCTACCCCTGGCCTTGCCTCCCAGAAATGGGTACAGCGTGAGATCTCCAACTTCGAGTACTTGATGCAACTCAACACCATCGCGGGGCGGACCTACAATGACTTATCTCAGTACCCTGTGGTGAGGGCCTGCTCCCGCCTCCACCCTACCCCTCTGTTCTGCCAGCCCCGGTTCACCAAAGTATAGGCACTAATGGTGGGCCGAGCTCTCAGCTTCGTCCTAGGCAGGTGCTGCCTGAGACCTGGCCTCTGTTCCCTGCCACCCCCTCCCCACACACACCCAGCCCTACTCTCCTCCCCTCCTGGCCTCTGTTTTCCGTGAAGAGAATCCTGTCCCAGGCAGTCCCTCCTGCTCCCCTGCAGCCCCTCCACATGGTTTGACCTGACCCGTGGGCTCTGCCCATCTTCCTGAGGGCGAGGGTGAGGGCAGGGCAGGGTGGCAGGGAGGCCATCAGGACCCTCATGCAGCTCCTGCCTGGGTGGGCGGCCAGTTCCCCTGGGTCCTACAGGACTACGTGTCCCCAGCCTTGGACCTCAGCAACCCAGCCGTCTTCCGGGACCTGTCCAAACCCATCGGTGTGGTGAACCCCAAGCACGCCCAGCTCGTGAGGGAGAAGTGAGTGTGTGGACAAGGCTGGGCTCAGGAGTTGGGATGAACAAGGGGTGGCCTTCTGCTGACTCCGTCAACTGTGTTCTCAGGTATGAGAGCTTCGAGGACCCAGCAGGCACCATTGACAAGTTCCACTATGGCACCCACTATTCCAACGCAGCGGGCGTGATGCACTACCTCATCCGTGTGGAACCCTTCACCTCCCTGCACGTCCAGCTGCAGAGTGGCCGGTGCGGCCCCGGGCGGGGTGGGCAGATCATGTGGGGCGGGGCCGGGCAGTGAAGGGAAGAGGCAGATTTTCCAGGCACCCCAGGCCCTCTGGCTCCCTGCTTTCCTGCAGCCACAACTTCTCCCTCCATGTCCCCCTTCACCCCTCCTTACTTTGGCCCGTGCCCCTCCCCAGCTTTGACTGCTCTGACCGGCAGTTCCATTCGGTGGCGGCAGCCTGGCAGGCCCGCCTGGAGAGTCCAGCCGACGTGAAGGAGCTCATCCCAGAGTTTTTCTACTTTCCGGACTTCCTAGAGAACCAGAACGGTAAGAGCTGGAGTAGGGGTGGGAGGCATGGGGATGGAGCGCGCAGGCTGGGGGTGGCCAGGGAGCAGATGAAGATGGCACAGCCAGACAGCTGACCCAGTCTTCTGTGCCAGGCTTTGACCTGGGCTGCCTCCAGCTGACCAACGAGAAGGTGGGAGACGTGGTGCTGCCCCCGTGGGCCAGCTCTCCTGAGGACTTCATCCAGCAGCACCGCCGGGCTCTGGTGAGATGAGCACACACAGGTGGGCAGCCAGGTTGAGGGGTGGGGTGATGGTCAGCTGTCCCTGGACTGACTGCCCCTTTGTCACTCCCAGGAATCAGAGTATGTGTCTGCCCACCTGCACCAGTGGATCGACCTCATCTTCGGCTACAAGCAGCGGGGTCCAGCCGCGGAAGAGGCCCTCAACGTCTTCTATTACTGCACCTATGAGGGTGAGCAGTGCCCTGGACTCAGGTGGGGGCCGGGGTACAGAGGAGGCGTGAAGGCAGAGGGCACAGAGGGAGTCCTGACCACCCTGCCTTCCTGCTCAGGGGCTGTGGACCTAGACCAAGTAGCAGATGAGCGGGAGCGGAAGGCTCTGGAGGGCATTATCAGCAACTTTGGGCAGACTCCCTGTCAGCTGCTGAAGGTAAGGCTGGGTTGGAAGACAGTGGCCAGGGATGCCCAGGCCACAGTGCTGATCGACCATTGCCCACAGGAGCCACATCCAGCACGGCTCTCAGCTGAGGAAGCAGCCCAACGCTTTGCACGTCTGGACACTAACTCACCTAGCATCTTCCAGCACCTGGACGAGCTCAAGGCCTTTTTTGCAGAGGTTAGAGGAGGCAGGGCCTCAACTTCCTTCTGTTCTGTGTGAAATGCATTTAATCCCACTGTCTTTACCAACCCTTTGGGGCAGGTGGAAAACCTAAATCAAGGTCACTGATATTAAGACATCTTAGAAAAAGAGGTAGACATCAGAGAAGATAGGAGAGGTGTAGAGGGGTGCATTCTTCAGGAGGGAGGGCTAGGACATGGTGTTGACTCATCTGACCATCCTTAGGGAGACAAGAAGGAAGAAATCTGGCCTGGGTTACTCTCCCTTACCTCCCTGCCTGCAGCCCAGAGTGCCCCCTGATGTGTTTAGGCTCTTCTCTGCTCCTGCTGGCAGGCTGGGGGACATGGAGTGATGGGGTGGAGGACCAAGGTTGAAACTGAGCTTGAGACCCTAGAAGGGTCCTCCTTGTCCATCCTGTTTGGTTTCTTACTCACTTTCTGAGGAGCCTTCCTGAAGGCCCACTGGTCTCTGATGCCTGTTTCTCAAAGGGACTTCTGCCTCTATGGCACCTAGTCTGTGACTCCTGGGGGCTGAGACCAAGGGACAGAGTGGTGCTCCAGGGAGCAGATAGTGTAGTGGGAGCTCCCGCTGGTTGCTCAGGCACCAGCTAGCCCCACACTCCCCCTGCAGGTCATCAGCGAGGGCGTGCCCCTCGTACTGGCTCTGGTTCCCCACCGGCAGCCCCACTCCTTCATCACCCAGGGCTCCCCAGACCTGTTGGTAAGTGCACTGGGCCGGGCTCCACCTCAGCTCTACCCCGTCTCTGACTCTGCCCAAACCCACCTCTGCCCCCTCTCACCTGCAGGTCACTGTGAGTGCCAGTGGGCTGCTGGGCATCCACAGCTGGCTGCCCTATGACCGCAACATAAGCAACTACTTCAGCTTCAGCAAAGACCCCACCATGGGCAACCCCAAGTAGGACAGAGGGCTGTGGGCAGGGGTGGGCTGTAACTACCCCGCACCCAGAGTTGTCTCCCCACCCAATCAAAATGCAGGCCATCTGCAGGCTCTGGCCATGGCTTCTGAGGGCCTGGGTCCCCTATGTGGCCTTACCTGTGGTCCTCTTCACTGGGTCAGGACGCAGCGACTGCTGAGCGGCCCGTGGGTGCCAGGCAGTGGCGTAAGTGGGCAAGCTCTGGCGGTGGCCCCCGACGGGAAGCTGCTGTTCAGTGGTGGCCATTGGGACTGCAGCCTGCGAGTGACTGCGCTACCCCGGGGCAAGCTGCTGAACCAGCTCAGCCGCCACCTTGGTATGGGCAGCCCTGGAGCTAGGGCTGTGCAGGTGGGAGTAGGGTTCCAAGGCTAGCCAGGGAGGGGTAACTGCTCTGCTCTGCTTGTACCCTGCCCTCCCCTCCCTCCATGCAGATGTAGTAACCTGCCTTGCACTGGACTCCTGTGGCATCTACCTCATCTCAGGCTCCCGGGACACCACGTGCATGGTGTGGCGGCTCCTGCAACAGGTGTGCCAGGTTGAAGCCCCATGGGGCCCCCACAGTCCAACCCTGCTGTCCATCTGCCCCTCAGTTGGCCTCTAGCCCTGCCCTCCTCTCTTCCCCTCCCCCTGCTACCATAAGCAAGTCTGGAGCTCCACAGCCCTCCAGCTCTCTGGCTTTGGGCAAGGCCTTCGCTTTCGTGAGCTTTAGCCTTCTCACTCAGGGGCCAAGGTAGTGGGATGCCCCAGTCCTGAGCCAGTGCTGGTGTTCTCCACAGGGTGGTCTCTCAGTGGGGCTGGCATCAAAGCCTGTGCAGATCCTATATGGGCACGAGGCTGCAGTGAGCTGTGTGGCCATCAGCACTGAACTCGACATGGCGGTCTCTGGATCTGAGGTGTGTGAATGCCTGTGCCTGGGGGAGGCTGAGTTTGCTGGGCACTGCCCCTGAAGCCCAGATACCTCTGCCTCGCACCCTAAGCTGCTTTCCTGCAGGATGGTACTGTGATCATCCATACTGTACGCCGTGGCCAGTTTGTAGCAGCACTAAGGCCCCCTGGGGCCACATTGCCTGGACCTGTGTCCTACCTGGCGCTGGGGTCAGAGGGCCAGATTGTGGTGCAGAGCTCAGCGCGGGAGCGTCTGGGGGCTCAGGTAAGGAAAAAGGGTGCCCAGCCAAGATAGAGGTGGTTGGGGTTCTGTCTTTGCTGATACCTCCTGCTTCCTCCAGGTCACCTACTCCTTGCACCTGTACTCGGTGAATGGGAGGCTGAGAGCTTCACTGCCCCTGGTGGAGCAGCCCACAGCCCTTGCGGTGACGGAGGACTTTGTTCTGCTGGGCACGGCCCAGTGTGCCCTACACATCTTCCACTTGAACAAGTGAGCCCCACTACTACGGGTTCATGGTCCTTCAGGGTGGTGGTCATTGGCAGAGGACACTGGGAGGTGCCCCCGTGGACCCACACCCTCTTTACATGTCTGTGCACACATTTTTCAAGGCCTGTCACCTGTTCTCCCATTCCACAGTGGGGTGATCTTATCCTGGGCCTCCCTTAGCCACACATTTGTGGGGGATTTCTTTATGTGTCGATTTTAAACAAGCCATCCTTCAAATGAGGATAAGGAGGTAGATGGGAGAATGAAGGGACATCTGCTGGATACAAAGCTTCCTTGCAGTCATGAGTTCATATATATGCATATGCCCTCCCTCCCTGCAGACTGCTGCCAGCCACGCCTCCCCTGCCCATGAAGGTGCCCATCCGCAGCGTTGCTGTGACCAAGGAGCACAGCCATGTGCTCGTGGGCTTGGAGGACGGCAAGCTTATCGTGGTGGGCGCAGGGCAGCCCTCTGAGGTGAGGATGCAGGCAGGCCAGCCCCTCGAACAGGGCCGGGAGCGACGGTCCTGGCTGACCCCAGCCTGCTCCTACTCCTACCAGGTGCGCAGTAGCCAGTTCGCGCGGAAGCTGTGGCGGTCCTCAAGGCGCATCTCCCAGGTGTCCTCCGGGGAGACAGAGTACAACCCTGGAGAGGCCCGCTGACAGCCCTGCGCCCCACTGCGCAGCTCCGCCCCCAGCAGTTTCCGCCTCCGAGGCCCCGCCCAGGAGTCCACAGGAGGAGGCGACACCCAGCCTCAGGGGGTGGGCAGGGCCCCCACCTCCGCCCAGCTCAGGGATTGGCGGGCGGTGTCACTCCAGGAAGTCTGGCCCCTCGCCGGCAGAGGGGCCGCCCAGAGTCCCAGCACTGGCCTCAGCGGCCGCAAGCATTTTTGCACAATCTGAGGAGGGGGATCCAGGCTCCCAGGGCCCCGTCCCGCCGTAGCACAGGGGCCGGGCTGTGGCCTTAATCCTAAGGGCGCACTCCCCACCCCCGTTCTCCCATCTCAGCAATAAACCTGGACTAGTTTTGTAGCTGTTCCGCCTCCGAGCATGCGTGCGCGCGTTGCGTCTCAGCCTGCCCTGGGCTCAAGTCCCAAGGAGACTTGTCACCTCCGCTCGGCGCCGCCCGCGGTTTCTCATGTGAGGCTTCGGACTCACTTCTGCGCATGTACACGTTCCTGAGCCGGGCGGGGCAAGACCGCGAGCGGCCCCGCCCTCCAGTGCCGCCCCGCCCTTCGGTGTCCAGCCCCCTTCACTTCCCAGCTCTCCTCCCCACTCTCGGGGGTGCGGGGGGGGCAGAACCTGGCCTACCCAGGAACTCCACTCTGGCCTCCTCCCCGGCCCGAGGCTCGGAGGCCCCGTTCTGTGAGGTTGGGCGTATCCTGGGACCTGCGGAGGGTCGGCTGCTGCAGGTCAGGAGCGGATTGGGGACGGAGTCCTGGGTCTTCCTGGATGGAGGCGCTGAAGGCTGCCTCCAGGCCCCACACTTGCAGACCAGAGGTCCTGCGGATGTTGTCCGTTATGGTGCTGACGTCTGGGTTAGGATGCGTGTGGGAAGCCAGGGCAGTGTGGGTGTGCGGTGTTGCTGTGTGTGCGTCTTTTGTGGACCTGGAGACGGGTGTGTGTGGTAGAGGCTCCAATCCCGCAGCTCATGTGTGTTGGGGGGGTGGTCAGGTACACACACAACGCCTGGCTCTTTGCAAGCGCTATACACTGGCTAATCCGCCAACCAGGATCCAGAAAGGGCCGCTTATGTGGTAAGTAACGCGAATGTACACATCGTTCACACGGCAAGAGTCGCCACAGAATCTGTGCCAGACTCACTCGCCGACACTGGACTTTGCCACACACGTGGGCCCGTGCCTTTCCCCAGGGAAGTGAGTTTGGAATGCTTGGGGTGGACCAGGCCAGATGTGGAGTGGTGGATGTCGGGGAGTTGAAGGGCCTTCCCCCAGGTCTCTTCTCCATCCTTTTCCCCCTCCTCAGCCCAGACCAGGGTCTCCTCCCCAGGCCTCAGGACGCATCCTGAGGACCTGCAGTCGCAGCAGTATCAGGTATCAGCCTACATGTAGAGATAGTTCCTGGGATTGAGTGGTCCTCTTCTTCAGGTTTCTGGCCTCCAGACCCTCTCCAAATTCCCAGAGAAAGGACCAGGAGTCCTCTGGGTCCACATGCCCTCTACCTTTGCTGAGCCCATCAGAGTACCCTCCCATCCAGCCTCTGAGCAGGAGGTGAGGGCTGGACACTGACCCTGGAGACAGGAATGGGAACATAGTCACTCCAGGAACTGTGCTGGTACTGGGAACTCTGGGGAGCTTCCTACTAGCCACTTAAGTCTCCACCTGGCTCTGGCTGAGAATGGGGATGGGAGTCTCCCTGGTTCTCCTATTGCCATCCCTGGACTCAGACCAGGGGTTTGCCGAGGTCTCTTAAGACAGGGGGGTTTCCAGTGTGCCCTTTTCCATGCTGAGCTGCACCCTGGCCTCCTCCAGCTGCGGCCAGCTCTATCACCTCCACCCCATTTGACCCTGGAGGAAACTGGTCCCGATTGGTGAGTGGGGACATGGAGGGTACCCAGCCCTGGAGTGAATCAGGATGAAGTGAACCAGGAAAGTGGGACAGACTACCCTAAGGGATTCCAGACTTTAAGCCTGAGGAATTCCCCCCATGTCCCTATACACAGCCCCTTCTGAACGCATAAGTCTCCCAGGTCCTTTGCCTGGGCGCTGCCCATGACACTTTAACTCCTTCTCTAAGAGATGCAGCCCCTGGGAGCACTACTAGCTGGCAGAACCATGCTTCACAACTCCAGCCACAGGGAAGGCATGGTCCATGTGGGTAAGCATCTCTTGATACAAATTTTGGGCATTGGGTAAGAGGAGGGTAGCACAGGTGGGTCAGCCACACACAAGTCCAGTCACAGACCCTGGAGTCCCTGTTTCTTGTGCCTTGCCTGCACTGGATTGTGGGGACCAGCTGGCCTACAGGCAGAAGTGAGCAGCAGCATTTACTTGCCTTCTGGCTCAGCTTTATTTTGCAAAAATTTACAAGATCTCCCGTGCCCAGAGGCCCCCACAGGGACCAACGTGAATCAGTGTCCTGTCACAGTCCAGACTTGGTAGGAAAGACCGGACACAATTTAGTGCCATAGTAGATGGAGAAGGTAGGCCTGGAGCCAGAAAAGGGAGAGGCTGGGAGAGTTCAAGGAAGACTTCCCAGGGGAGGAGATTCCTGCCAGGCTGTCAGATGGAGATGGTAGACCAGCAAGAGCAGATGTCTGGAAGCCTGGAGAGGAGGTGCATCAGGGAAGGGCTAGGTGTCCAAGGATGGTGAACAAAGGGGAGGCTGTGGGAGCTAAGTGTGGGGAACAAATTAGTCATCTTCGATGCTATGGTATGAGCTTTTGACTTTACATAGTAGGGACTATTATTTCAAGTCTTTCTAGCAGTCTGTGTCTGCTGCCTAGGGACCCTCGCCTTGATTCCTTGCTCCTGATCCTGTCTGTCCTTTTCTCTACAGATAAGACCTGGAGGGAACACGACAGGGACAGGGAAGGGGTGTGGGTAGGGGCAGGGGGAGCCCTGGCCCCAGGCACCTCCTCTCCATTCCCCCCTGAGCCTCCAGGGGCCTCGGGCAGCATCATCCCTGTCTACTGTTCCCTCCTGGCCACTGTAGTCCTCGGTCTGCTCGCTTATGTGGCCTTCAAGTGGTAGGTGGTCTGGGCATTGTCCTGTGGTACCCTCTCCCCATCTGGACTCCCAGCCAGCTCCTTCTCTGACTCAGTGAAGACTGGAGCAGGCTGGCAGGTCCCCCTGCTCCCCACAGCTGGCGCTCACACAGAGACAGCAACTGGCCAAAGCTCGGACTGCAGAGCTGGGGGCTTTCAACAGGGATCAGATGCATGGGGATAGCACTGTCTTCCAGGACTCTCCATGTGGTCTGGAGCCCTGTGCTCCCAGCCAGGGTGAGTCTTCTACCCCAGTCTATAGTCCTTCATCCTAGCTCTGCCACACTACATAGCCTGTCTGACCCTCATGTGCCCCTCATGTCTCTCACCTCAGGGCCACATCCTGAGCTTGGCTGCCGGCTTTACCTCCATCTCCCTCGGCAGCAGCAGGAGGAAGTGGAGCAGCTCCTGGAGGCATCTGGTGAATCTGACAAAGGCTGGCAGGGCCTGGCAAGCCGCCTGGGCTACCGGTCTGAGGCTGTGGAGACCATGGCCCAGAGCCAGGTGCCAGCCTACACCCTGCTGAGAGACTGGGCTTTCCAAGAGGGCAGCAGTGCCACCCTCAGGGTGCTAGCAGACACCCTGGCTTCCATGGGCCATGAAGATGTGGTCCGGGTCCTGGGCCCCTTTGCTGAGGGCTGCTCTGTGGTGTAAGTGATGCTTCTACAGCCTGGCCTCTCGCAGAACCTGCTCTGGTGCTCCCCACCACCCTCATCTCATACACCTTCCCTTTCACGGGCTTCCTGGCATTGGTGACCTCAGCCTGCTCTGTGCAAGGGGGGCACAGATGATCCAGCCACCATTCACCTCCCCTCACCCTACCCTCCTCCAGGAAGGTTGGTGGTAAGGAATGGTCCTGTCCCCCTCCCCTTACTTAGCCTCAACTGTTGCTTTCTACTTTTGTATCCCATATTAAAGGCAACTTTGGACTATTGTCCTGGCACTTCTGGCTCCGTGGGTGGCTATGTGGCGGCAGAGGCCCAGAAAAAGGATAGGGTCCCTAGAAGGTAGGAAGAGCCCCTAAATTGGCAGTGTGCACCTGCAGATGTGTGAGCTCTGGAGGCAGAATGGCAGTCACATCCCACACTGCCTTCACTGGCTGAGTTGTGTTAGGAAGTATTTTACCTTTCTGAACTTTAGCTTCCTTTGCTGGAGAATAAAAAGACTGGCATGCACAGTAGGCAACCTCCTACCCTCACCCTTGACTCTCAGGTTGGCACCAAGGGGCCTTGGGTTTGAGACCATTTTCCTGACTTGTGCTGTGACCAACATCAAAGGGAGGCTGGAAGCCTGCCCGCGCAAGGAGGAGGTCAGAGGCAGACTGGTTCTGGAAGGCTAATTACCAAGGGCGTCAGGTCATCTCTAGGTGAGAAAAAAGAAGTAAGGCTTTTTGTTTCAAGACCTATGTTCCAGACTCAGGAGAGGAGAGGAGGTCTAAACATGGCTTCCACAGCTGCTTACGTGGTTTCCACACAAGCCAAGGACAAGTTAGGTCATCCCACCTACCTGAGGGGCTGTTGAGCCAGGGCAGCTGCAGCTAGACCATCTGCACCCCGTGTATATGACCACCTTGAATGAATAGGCGGGCAGGTTGGTTACTGTGCCTTTGGAGGGGGTTGCTCTAGCAGACAGGCCCTGTCTAAGAAGGAACAGTGGCTACCATCCTGGCCTCCATCAGGATCAGAGCACTTAAGAAACACAGACACCTAAACTCACTCAGGAGACTGGGGCCCAGAGTAGATCTTGTCCCCTTGCTGCGATGTGACTAGGATTGGTGGGCTGTGAGTGCCAAACTCATCAGACTGCTGCTTCTGCTCCTTCCTCAGTTTACTAGGGCTGCTTAACCCTGTAAATCTTTTCCTTAAAATAAGGACAGGTTTAGAGGCACCTTCATCTGGAAATGACCCTTGGGCAATAACCCAGGAGAGAAAGCAGGAAAGGCTGAGTGTTTGGTCAGCTTGAATCAGGCCAGTGCACTGGAGACACCACACCTACTTCAGAGGGCTACCAAGGATCGGATCGGCAATGACTGAAATCCTGCATTGAGAGACATGAACAGGCCCTGGATTAGCTTGCACCCCTCATCACCACCAAAGGGATTTGAGCTTAAAGGTATCGAGGTGTGTGTAAAAGGGGAAGATTTGGAAAAAAAACTTAAAGGGAGGTAAAATAACAGAATTCCTCTTCAAAGAGGTCCTTTCTGAAACTTGACAGCTCCTTGGTCACCACCCTTTAATGAAAGGCCTCCCAGATTTCCTTGGAGGAACCTAGAGCCTCAGGTAAAACCATGAGTTTGACTTTGCTGCAAAGCAGCAACACACATGGCTGACCTCTGCAGGGCAAGCCCATCCCTTTTCACGTGCTCAAGCACGTTAGTTGGTACAATAATGTGCTTGAGTTTAACAGTTTAAGGCTGCAGGACCATGGCAAAATACTTTGGCTACGTTGTTAAATGGCACATCTAATGATTACGTCTTCAAAGTAGGTGTTTGTCTCCTCTTACGACAATTCCTTTAATTCAAGGAAATCAGATAAGATACTGAGCCTCACTGAGGAGTCTTACTTTCCTCATCCAAACAGTGCCAATTCCTGTGCCTTCAGGTTGTGAGGATCAAATGAACACAACCCGAGTTCTAAGGGCCCAGCAGGCAGTAACTGCTGCCCACCCCACCCAAGACTGGGCAGACCACAGCCTCTTCCCCAAGGGCTTTGGTACAGTGAGCAAAATCACCCTGGTGAGGAAGAGATGGGCCAGGCTGGCCTGAAGCTTTTGGTTGGCCCTTCTCACTGCCTAGGCAACGGGTTCATCAGGAGTGGCATGTGTCTCCACTGAGCCCTGTGTCCTCCACGTGATCACTGTCGTTACCCTGTGCACTGGACCCCTCTAGTATCCAAGCCCAGTGTCAGGGAGCCTGGTGGGGGGTCAGGAAACCCAAATATCAAATAAGCATTCCTGTGGCCTCCCTCAGGTAACTCAAGTCTCTGGAGGGAAGAGGTTCCCTGCCTCTTGCCAGCCAGAAGGGACAAAAGGAAAGACAAGTGCCTTTCACTTCGCTGGGCTATTATTAAGCAAAGTAATGAAGCCCAGTGCCAGGGAGGCCTCAGGTCCACTTCCTTTGCTCAGAGTACACGTGTAAGATGTCTACCTCAGTCACAGGGGGCCTGTGGGGAAGGCCTGTGTGTGATAAACTCTAATCTCAAGGAGTAATTCTGGACTTCACACACCTATGGCCATCATCTCCTCTCTCAACAGTGACAACACTTTATACAAACATGCCTGACTAGCTTTTACGGAACACACATGCCAAGTTCTTTAATTGATTTTATTTTTTACATAAAAAGTTCAGTAAAAATTGGATAAAGTAAAGTGATTTTAAGCAGTAAATCAATCTTATCAACATAGCACAAGGCTGGCCAAAACCACAAGGCAGCCTGCTTTGGAATATTTACATGATAACAAATTAAACCTTGCAGGAGAACTTATACCATCCTTACAAAGTCTTCCTGTGATCCTAGCACGTAGAGGCTAAAAGCAAAACAAAAAACAAAAACCAGGAAAAACAAACAAATTATTTTCAATATATTCACATATACATTAAAATATAATACAGATCTTCAGCGTAAGGGGGTTGTGGGTGGGGATGCGCATGAGTCTGTGCGCTGACAGCACCGCCAAGGAGGAGACCCAGGTGTGAGAGTGGGGTCAGGCCTGGCCAGGGTCTCAGAAGGGAAGGTCTCAAGGGCCTAAGCCCTTGCCTCTGATGGCCTCTACCAACAGCTCACAACCAGGGACTGCTTGTTGAAGATGGAGCTCATTTTTGTGGCTTTCACCTGAAATCTGCAGACTTGAATTCCCCAGGGTGATGTGTCATCAGTAGCACAGCCCTGTCGGTGGAGTGGGGCGGGGCAGAGAGGGCCCACAGGATTTCTTCTCCCCAAAGTATGTCCTACCAGCTTGCCCGTCCTCCCACCCTGGCCCGGTAGGTCACTCTAATTCAGTGTCCTCTTTGGGTTTGTAAACAGCCCCAAACTTCTGCATGTACTTCTTAATGTACTCCTTGGTTTTGTGTTTCACATTCTCATTGCACTCCAGGTCCTCAGGGTTCTTACAGTACTTCAGCTCCTTATTCATAACGCCGTGAGTCAGCTGTCCAGGACACAGGAAGAAAGACCACAGCCACCAATCAGAGTGGAAATGATTTGAAGGGGTAGACCAGCCTGCTGTCTTGGGGCCCTTCTTACCAAGACTGGCAGCTGACCAAGGGGGTAGCTGGGGCAGGCTGTTGCTGGGATCACCAGAAAGGGGAAGCTCAGCTCTTAGAGAACTTCCCTGCCTGTATCTTCCCTCCCTGTTCCTGTGTCCCCAGCCTGGGCATCCGGCAAGGAAAACCCACTTTCTATGATGAAAGAGACCGTCTTAGAAGGTGCAGTTTGCCCAGAGCATTCTAAGACCACAAGTAGGGGGAGTACCTTGCGAGCTAGGTGTTTGAAGTCTTCAGTTGTGGTAATTCTTCCCACTTTGCAGTCAGGTTTCCGATAAGGGTTCAGGCACTGGACAATGAACTGGGACATCTGCAGGCAGAGGGAAGAGAATATACTGCTTAATAGCCCAGAGGCGGCATGAAGTTGTACTGAGGAAATAATCAGAAAAGACAGCAAGTAGAGCCAGCCAATCCTTCCCTTTCCCTCACTCAGGCTGGCTAGTGTGGACAGAAGAATGCTAGTATGCCAGTGGGATATAAGAGAAAAGGACCCCAGGTCAGCCTTGAGGGGGAAAAGCTCCCTTGGATGGACGGAACAAGCCTGACAGAGCAGCAGATGGAGGGACCGAGCAGCAGGACTCCACTGCTGAATCTCATGGCAGCCCCAGGCTTCAGCTAACAGATCTTGTGTCCTTGGCATAAAGAGACTATAGCTAAATCCTCTGCCCCTGGAGGCAGGGCAGACAGGGCCTTTCCAGGCTACCATTTTGTTATAGAAGGCTACTTAGTCTGTAAGTGTTGCACTTCATTTGAGTCACACTACATCAGTGCCAAGCAGATGGAAGCATGGTATGGCAGCTGGCTAGAGAAGCTCTGGAGTAAGACCTTTTCAATACACAACTTCCAGTGTCCCTCTGAGTTATTTCTGTACTGTCTGTCCTACCTAGTGGCTCTCAAAAGAGATCCAGGCACAGGACTGCTGAAGTATTTGTGGTGCTAAGATCCCAGGGGACAAAGGGAGCGAGGAGGTCAGTGATAGCGACTTTGCCATGGAGCACCATGAACAGGGTCTACCTAGCCCTGTAAGTCAGTGAGCTTTGAGATGTTCAAAGAACAGGCTAAAACACAAGGTAGGCACTAAATAAACAGCTGATAGTTGGCTGAGCTGAAATGCCAATAATTTTACACAGGGACAGTGAGAAACTAAGTTTTATCCCTAGAGAAGGCTTTTACTCAAAGTTTTCCCGTGGTCTCCTGGCCTTCATACTCTCTCCCTTCAATCTATCCTCAAATACAATAGGAAATTTCTTTATTCCCAGCTTAAAATCCTGCAGTGGTTCCCTGTAACTCATAGACACACAGGCCCTATATAAAGTAGCACAACACTGTTCAGCCTCATCTTCCAACACCCCTCGCAAACCCTGTGCTACAGTCCACGGATTCCCCGGAAGGGACGATGCTTTCTTTTGACTCTGTACACTCTACTGCCTGAATTACATCCCTCCTGATCTACCTGGCAAACTTCTACCCCTGACCCAAGAGCCCTTCCTGATACCCTGAATAGTGGCCTCCAGCCCTACTGTGGCACACTCGTCACACAGCTGCCACACACAGTTGCTTATTTACGTGTCTACTTCCAACCGACCATGAACCACTTCAGTGAAGAAAGGCTGGAATGCAGAATCTGGATGCCTTGAGGCAGAAAGGATTAGTGTCCTGATAGCTGGAAACACACTTCCAGCAACATAAAGCTTTCTCCCAATCACTTCATCAGGCAGCCACCAAATGAGGTATCACAGAAAGAGAACTAGACTTCGAGCCAGAAGGCATGAGTTCAACTCTTCTGTCTACAGGTTGCCTTCTCTGAACCTTAAGAGATCCTCCACCAACATAAGAGGAATGACAGTTCTGGTCTTGCCTACCTCAAGCACTTGCTGTAGGGTAAAACGAGATCATGGGTACAAAAGTGCTTCTTACCTAATTGTAAAGAATCACACCAATGTGTCATCACATAACCACTGCACAGTCAAATCACAGAAGCAAGGGAACACCCAAAAGGAAGGCAGCCTAATGTTACAAATAGCACAGCCACCAAACCTTACCTCTTTTCTGAATACTTCTTTGCTCTTCTTAGCTAGCTCACTGGAGGTGTCTGCTTCTGCTGTCTTAGGCTTTTTTGAAGTCTAGAAATGGAAAAGAAAACACAACAGTGTGGGCATGAGAGATCAGCTTAGTGATGCCCTGTTCTTCCAGAACCTTCCTTTTTTTTCCCCCAGGTGAGATACCTGACTCTTGGTATTAGGATCCTAAAGGGACACGGCCTGGAGTCAGCTTAGCTGCTGTTACCACTCTCACCTCATGTTTAAATCCTGTCATCTGGCTCTGGCCTCGTTCCTATAAACCAAGTTCTAGTTCTCTACCCTAAGTCTAAGCTACATCTCTGATGTAGCTAAACATCTGTTTCAGGGTGACTTTCTCTGCAGAGGAAATGTGCTCTGTGACTTGGACACTCAGGCCCCTGTTCTGAGCTGCAGTGTCAAGGGAGGCCCTGGTTTGATGAACTCCACCTCTCCCATCTCTGACATTCTAGGATTCCAGGACAAAGACAAAATGCTCTGTTCTGAACACCTTTTGCCACACAACTGAAAGGTCCAACCACATCATGGTCCTCATTCAAGTCACTCCACACCCCTTGGATACTCATCACTTTTCCTCCAAAGGCAGAGCTGGCCAGACTGTAGGAGACAGTCTCAGCATGCAGGAGATGCTCCTTGGAGGTTGGTATCCTCAGTTCAGGAATGGAAAGACTAAAAAGGCATCTAAGTATCTGAGGGGGACACGAGGGTCATCCAAGTCAGTGAATAGGTGAGTAGGATCTACAACAGAAGATACTCTGTCCCAAGATGGTAAGATGATGACAAACCTAGGAATATTCCCTTCCAGCAGTGCTGGGGGGAGGGGGGAGACTGCCAAGTTCCCCACAACCAGGCACTGCTGAGAGGTGAGAGCACTTGCCATGCAAAGTCATCTCCCCATATGTTTGCTCACCACCAGCCATCAAGCCTCTTCCTAGTAAATGTACCTTTTCGTGGAAAAGATTATGCGTATCCCCTCTGTGAATACAAGTCACTTCAGATGGATGCAGAAGCTGCAGCTGGTATTATAGGTACTTCGTGTTTTTGCTAGCCGCTTAAAGCACAAAACTTTTTCTATTCCCAACCCACCCTCAGTTCTGATTCCTCTATTTCCATCAACAGTATGAAGGTGCTGGTGATGAAGGAGCTGTTCAACTCCCTCTGCTCTGGATTGGCTCCAGAGAAAGGCGACACTCCCTTGGCTTTGGGCTTCTGTAAATCAGCTTTCTCTGATTTGTTGTAAGAGCTTTACATATTTTCCATTTTTCTACTTTCTGTGGCTACTGGGAACAGGAAAGGGAGGGCAGGGTAGAAAAAACAGATTCTACCTCTGGTTTCAGGAAACAAAACACAAATAACTATTTTCAAATGTTTTGCTTTGGCCCCTTCCCCAGGGTAGTTGGAATGGTCCTCCCACTTGTTGGCATGTGAAGTTACCCAGCCCACAAAAACTGGCAACACCACTCTTCGTGGCCACCCCTCTCGCTCCCTCATCTTCAGGGACGGCCGGCACTGAAGTGGATATGGAGTCTGTATCTATCTGTCTATGGAGTCTGTATCTATTTTTACTCCAACCTGAGCACCCAACCCCCACACCTTGTGGCCTTTCTCTCGCCTTTTGAAACAGCCTACACTCTATGTAGTAGGTATCTCTCTAAATAAATCTACCTTTACTCAAAAAAAAGTTTTGCTTTGGGATTTTGTGGTTATTTTTTCAAGGAGTGTAGAGTGTAGGTGTGTTTCACAGTAAGATCTCACTTAGCAAGGGATCAAGAATTGCCTGAATAAGCCAAGGTAATTTCAACACAATCTCAGCTGTTCTCCTAATCTCAAAAATGAGTTATCAACAGCAACAAGTACAGAAGGCCCCTTGAGGTATGACAGCCCCCTCAAGGGTCTGGGTCACAAAGAGGAGGCCAGGCTTGCAGTGAGGATACTGTGTAAACAGGAATGTTCTGCTTCCCTCTGAATGGGAGATGTATTCAAGAAGCTAAACAAATCCAGTGCACTTCTAATTTAATCTCTGACTTGGTGATGTCAGTAGGGCTTGAAAAATACAGTTTTAGAGCACAATCCACTGAGCTCTGTCTAGGAGCTTAACTGGTCCTTTTGCATGCTGTGCAGCTGGGATTAAGAAGGGAAATACTCAAACAGAGGATGCCTAGACTTATATCATGGAAATCATAAACCAAAATGAAGTACTCTTGGGAGTACTGAAATTCATGTAGCTCTCGGCCTGTGATCTGCAAATGGCACAAGAAATACTTTCAGAAACTGGTTAACAGTTACTCAAGCCCAATGCCAAGCAACACGAGGAGCCAGAGTTGGAGCTGAGGATAGCACGTGATGGACAATGACATGAAACACTTTGGGAACCTTCTCTGCCCCTGGCTCCAGAAAAGTTCCATTTGAAGTGTTAGCATTTCTAAGTATATAAACTTTTAAAATCAAGTGCTATTAACTTTCCCAAATGCCTATGCCAATTAAAAATCCTCTAATACCAGAAAAGACATAAGGCTAGACCAACAGTCCCCAAAATATAATAGGCTACTTCATGGGGGTAGGGAACATCTATCTGTGCTGCAAGTGGTCTCTTGCTGAGATTCTAGGAATCTACCAGAGACGGGGGAAGAGTACTCTTGAGATATAAAACAGCAGTATGTTCCCCTAGGTCCTCAGCAAGAATGAGTTTGCCTTTTCTATATGTTGGCTCACACCAGGCATCAGTCAATGAGGGATTTTGTTGGAAACCTGTATGAGCAGTGGCCAGATGAGAGCACAGAGTGAAATGAGCAGGCAGAGTGCCTGGCAAAAAGCCAGAGCTTACTGCCTGGAGAAGCTCACCCTGCTGTCAGCCTTCATCTGAGACATCTCTGCAATCCCAAGGAATCTGGTCAGAATATGACTAAGTATGAGTATGAGAAGGAAGACCATGTACCTTCACATTAAGTCTTCACTCCTTCTGGCTTTAAGTAGGGAATGGCTTTAAGCTAACTGGATGGCTCTGGTCACCACACACTCTGTAACTCAACAAATGCAAACTCTATCCTTTATTATACATACAGAAAAGACCATGTCATAAAACTTGTGTGCCTTGTAACTTAGGAGTGTAGCCTAACTGAAATGGGTCCTGACAAAGAGCAGGATGTACCCAGCTAATGCTTCTCTCCCCCTGAATTTAATTACTGGAACATGAAATGTAAAACATTATTTTAGGAGGAACTTTTATCTTTCAGGGCAGCCCAAATCCAGAAACAGGGGTTGAGCTATCAGAAACACTATACACGTGATTCAGCCTAAATTCTACAACACACCAATTAATAAGTTAAGAAAGATCAATCTCTGAAAATAATAAAAACCCAGTATACTTTTTTGAAGTTGCTACTACGTTTGGTAGCAGGAAGAGCAAAATAATTTCAGTTTGGTTCTAGATCAGGCATTATATACCATACCTTAGTCTGTCAAAGAGGCAGGGTGGGGGTGTGTGTTGTGGTGGGTCCAAGAAATGAGAGGACAGGAACAAAAAGATCTCTAAGGCACTTTCAGGAAGTAGTGTTTCAAAAGTCTGACTACATTATACAGAGGCTCCATGTGCTCCATTCAGAGAGAAGTGGAGTTCATAAAAACCTGGAAATAAGGTCCTTAAGAGGAACCAGCAGGCCTCATACTCTTATCCATTTGGCCTCAAGTGTAGTTTTAGCCCTAGCAGTTTCTGATCCCCCAGACGATGACCAGGCTACGTTATCAGGCAAGTTAACTATCTGCTCTGCAGAGATCTGGGCTCTGGTTTCTGATAATACCTTTTCAAATGCGATTTCCTAGTTCCCTCTCCATTGTTGGTAAGTGATTTCATAAAGCATCTTTTTGCAAATTACCCCTAACTCCAAAGATGGGATCATAACTGAAAAGACTCTTGGTCCCTGATTCCACCCTCTCCAACTCCCTCAATCCAATAAATTATACTCTGTAACTACTGTTTTCACATAGTATAGTTAGGACACCTATTATACCTTATGACTAAATGTTAATGAAAAGCCAGAAGGCAGTAGTAAATAAACTGCTGTCTCTCAATCATGCTAGCAGTCAGTAATGATTTATGCCTGTGGTTCACAAAGCGAAGACATGACTTTACATCGACCACATGATGGATGACGGAAGAGAGTACAAGATGACCAAAGGTAGGGAACAACACTGGAGGAAAAGAGAGGAGGGCTCTCACAGATGCTTAGTCTCCTCATCAAAAGCTTTTAATATCACCCACCCAGAACCACACAGTTCTCTCCAAATTACATACCTTCCCTATGTTGATACTATATATCCCTACGTTTCCAACAAGCACCTATTTATTGAAGACTCAAACCTAGATATAACTGCCTACCAGCCATTCTATCCTGGATTCTGCAGGGAGCTCAAATTCCACAATGAACGTATTCCCAAACTTCCTCCTGATCTTTCCTTCATTCCTCAGATTGAATAATGGGACCTTATCTACCCAAGCTAAAAATGAGGATGGTGGACCACACTTGCCTCTTCCATATCAATTTGTTCACTTAGCCCCAAATGATGCCTTTCAGGAAACTTTGCATGAATCTTCAACACCTCCACTCTGAGTTCCTCATTTTGCCTAAACTATTATAATACTCTTCAATCTGATCTCCTTTCTACGAATCCTACCTTTACAAATGGGTCTGTTTCACTCAAGGGACACACATTTTATTGACCCCTTGCCTTAAAAGCTCATTCACTGGCTTTTATCATACAATAATCACATTGGTAGGACACCAAGATCTCAGACAATTTAAATCTGACCTACTTTTCCTATTTTTGTCTTGCTCACTACCCTGTATGTACCCAAACTCTCACCATGACAAATTATTTTTACTGTTCGCTATATGATGCTCTGCCTTGTACTGACTTTATGCCTTTGCAAAAACTGCTTTATCTTCTCAGAATCCTCTTTCCTGCCTACCTTAGCTTTAGGTTAAAATCATGTTTTCTGTGACATATCACTGATGTATCTTCTCAGACCATTAATCACTGTGCTCCCA